TTGAAACAATTTGGATGGAACTGGAGAACATTATCCTAAGTGAAGTATCTAAAGAATGGAAAAACAAACACTACATGTACTTGCTATTAAATTGGAACTAACTGATGAGTTCACATGTGCACAGAGGGAAGTAAACCTCAGTGGAAATCAAGTAGGTGGGAAGGGTGAGGAGGGGATGGATGAAAACCTACCTAACAGGTACAATGAACACTATCTGGGTAATAGGCACACTTACAATCCTGACTCAAGCATAACAAAAGCAATCCACGTACCTACAATGTAAAAGCACTGTCTAGGTGTTGGAAATATAGCCTTTTTTTGTTGTTGTTGTTGAGACAGAGTCTCGCTCTGTTGCCCAGCCTAGAGTGCTGAGGCATCAGCCTAGCTCACAGCAACCTCGAACTCCTGGGCTTAAGCAATCCTTCTGCCTCAGCCTCCCAAGTACCTGGAACTACAGGCATGCGCTACCATGCCCGGCTAATTTTTTCTATATATTTTTAATTGTCCAGCTGATTTCTTTCTGTTTTTAGTAGAGATGGGATCTTGCTCTTGCTCAGGCTGGTCTCGAACTCCTGACCCTGAGCGATCCTCCCGTGTCGGCCTCCCAGAGTGCTAGGATTACAGGCGTGAGCCACCACGCCCGGCCTGGAAATGTAGCCTTGAACAAAACAAAGACCCAGAACTCACGGAGCTTATATTCTGGTAGGAAAACAGACAACAAACTAATCTGGCCTTCTTGGCTTCCTGTTATCTAACCAACCCTCAGCAACTCCCAAATACGGGTAACAATGCTAACATTGCTAATTCTCTTCCCTGTATACACTGTTACTTTACTAAAACTATTTGAAGACTTCCATTGTGCTTTCCCATAGTCTGTTCCATATTAATGGTACCCAGCTGGAATTGTGCAATATAACAACTAAAGAATTTTTAAGAAGAAACAAAATGTTATCAATATATCTGTCTTGAAACATTTATGAGATATGTAGCAGTTATTTATTTTTGGTATTAAAAGGATGATTATTTACCTTATAGAAGAATTTCATCTAGAGTTACTTTTAAAAAAATAAGCTTCCCTATTACATTTTAAATAATTCAATTTACAAACATCCTATTTACACACAAGAAGGCTCAAATTTTTATTAGAATGAGAAGGTCTATACATTTTCTCTTATGACCCAGAATTTCCCAAGCTTGATCAACCTAGGATTATAAATGGGGTCACAGAATAATAATAACCTAGGTTTCACTGGCTTTGCCCCACCTGAAAAACTTCAAATCTCTACAAAGGCTTGAATCTGCTCCCTTCTCTTCAAGTGTTTTTGGGAGTCTCCAGGAGTGTCTACAAGAACAAATCTGGTCAGCTGCCTGATGTCTGCGTGGCACTTGTAACTCCTACGTCTCCTTCGGGCTTTGTGTCAGTTTTGGCTATTTTCTGTATACCACATCCTCACAATGGGTACCACTACTGATGCAGCGACACTTTCAAAAAGCCAAAGACTTTTGGCCAAGTTCTCGAGAATGCTTCTTTTCCCTTTTTTGATTTACTCTCTGTGGGAGGGATACCCTAGTTGCATGGCTAATTTGTGCCCCATGACCTTAAGATGCTTAGTAAGACTGATTAAGGTTTATGTTCTCATTCCATCTACTCCTAATCCCTATTAGATGTGGGATCAGGCATAGATTGAGTGACATACACCAGCGTGTGCTCAGAATCACTCCTCTACCCTGATTATTAAGGCACTGTTAGCACACTGGCATTGTTAGAGTAGGATGCCCTACTTAATCTGAGTTCTCTCCCAGGAGGGCCCTGTAGTCTCCTGTATGTAGGCTTTCATCAGCCTGCCCCATCAGTTCTCCAACATCGGGACCTGTCTGAATCTTTAATAGTAAATGGTGAGACCTCTCCTATGTAAAAAATTGATTTATATAAAACTTTTCACTAGTCTCTAAGCAAAGTGATACACTGCCATACTTTCAATTGTACTTCATGACATGAATTTGGTATTTAATAATTAGACACAAGTTAGTTATAATATAAAAAAAGGGTTTGTTTTTGTTTGCTGTTACACACAACTTTTTAGGAATAGGACTCTAATGAATATTGAATTTTATGAGTAGGTTCCTTTCTAAGTCTCATTTGTGTATATACAACTGGATGGTTAAAACTATATTGTGTTACACACTTTTTTGAAAATTTATTTTGTGTGCATAGCTAGATTTAGAAGCCACATTTGATAAACACAATGAACAGAAGCTTTTCCACAGTCTTGGAGTAATAATCATTTGATGAGTGTTGGGTATTTAAATTATTCCAGTTTATACTATTCAGAATAGTCCTGCATTAACCCTTCAGAATTTTTTTTCCTTTGGGATATACTCCCAGGATGACAAATGGTATTGGTAATACCAGTGTATTCATATTGTTTGATATTTTCAGATCACTTTCCAAACATTCCTACCTCATAGAGTTGTTATGTGAATTAAAAGAGATAAATGGTGTAATCTAGCCCCTAGCACTTAGTTGCCTTCAATAGATGTCATTTCCTTTCCTCCAGATAATGATTTTTAAAATTACTTTGACATTATTAAACATTTGCCATCAACTTAGATGTGCATAGTTTCAAAGTATGCTGTGAGCTGGAAGACATGGTACTGGGACCAACAGAACTGCCCTGTGAATAGGGTTGATATCCAAAAGGGGTAGCTTCCAGGCCAAATCCTTGATCTGGGGCCAACAATTCTGAAATAAGTCCCACGTGGCAGATTAGTTTCAAGGATTGGTTGGTAATACATGAAGTTAGGAGTACAGCTCCATATTAGTTGAGTTTGAAGTAGGTTTGAGGGAAGAGTCCAGTTAGGAAGGTTATCAGGGATCTAGCCAGTTTGGTGCAAATAAATCAGGCTGAAATCCATTTGAACCTGGCAAACCCAGTATTGACTTTTACCCAACTTTTGCAAACTTTCCAAAAACAAAATGGCAATGTATATTAAACAAAACCTGCTATTTATTGAGCATTTACGGTCCATTAAGTATTGTCACCTTTTAAAAGGTAAAAGGTTTCTGTGTAATTTGCCCAAGGCTATACAGCCTGGCAGGTGATAGAGTTGGAATTCAAACCCAGGTCTGACTGAACACAAAATCTCTTTATTTCTATCACTGAGTTTATACTGCCTTCACTTGAATTATGTAAAATGTTCATTTTTCCTCAAAGTTGTGTGCAAATCAAAAGTTCTGTTTTTCTGTATAAAAGCCTTTAAAATACAGATATATCTATAGAACTGTTATAAAATTATGTGAAGATATTTTAATTGCTTCCTAATTTAAGTAGGGGGTACTATATTATGAACTATAAAGAATAACATAATAGAGAATTAATAAGTAATGACACTGACATTGTTATTTATTTATGTAACTTTATTTTCTGAAATAACATAAGATGCATAAGAATATAGGCATAAAATATGATTAAATACAGCCCAAAATATCATAAGATAAGGTCACAAATGTAAAATAACTGTGACAGATGGGATTTTCTTATTCTATTACCCTCTGTCATTTTTCACCACTGGACTTCCTGGGGAGAAGGTCATTAAGAAAAGACAAAAAGGACTTTGTTAGCACAACACACAAAGTCAGTTATGCTGTAAGTATTGTAAATACTAACCTGGAAACTGTGTTTCTTGCAGATTGCTTAATTCTATAGGATGCTTGAGATGGAGAGAACTGATGAAAAGAGAACTGGATGAAACCAGTTGGGAGCTAGGACATGGGAATGGGCTGATGGAGAGAACGAAGTAGGGGATGATGGGAGTGGAGAACAGGGAAGAAGACCAGAGAGGGAAGGGACCGCCAGGTGTTCTTCTGCAGTAGACTCTGATGGCCAACTATCTTGATAGAACAAATAAAGCGTTTCATTATCTCATAGACTCCAGTGTGTGGGTTCATCATTGTCTGACAAGATTTTTTTTCTGTCAGTGGATTGAACTTCCAAATGTTAAAGGCATAGTTATCTTAGCATTAGGGTCATGATGGGGGGAAGCAGGTTCTGTTTTGGTTAGGAGAAGCAGGGTGGAGGGTGGAGGGTGTTCTCAGGCAGCTTGTGGACTAACGACAATGAGAACTGGGGATCTGGCACACTTCACATGCCGGAGGAAGCCTCTGATGAAGATTTCTCTTTCCCCAGCAGTTCCCAGGAATAGACCTCCAGCAGCCACAGCTTTGTATGTGCTGAAGAAAATGGTTTAGCTAAAATTAGACTTAAGAACTTAAAATTAGAATGAAGTTTGAGTTAACCAACTCTTAATTCATCCACACTAAAATATGACAAGTTACTCAATCAAGTCTACATGTATCAAGTTCTTCCCAGGTTTGATCATGGGAAATTGATGGTCAACTGAAGTGAGAGAGTAGTAAGAGGGTTAAAGATGAAGGAAAAAAGATTGAGATTATGAAGAAGACAAACCAAAGACTTCACAGTTTTGCCTGGGTTTGACCTAGAGATCCTCATTTGGGTAAAGCAAAAACAATCTATTCAGAAGTCTTTCTGAATTAACTGCTGGTGTTTCTTTTTCTATTTGGCATCTCATGTGAAACATTTCTTTTAAGGCACACGCCAATTCTTTTCAATGGAACCTTTGTTCTCAGATGATCCATTATTTGAAGTATCACTGTATTAATAGAATTCAGGACAAAATTCAACCTGTATTGCAGAACTCTTTGTTGTGGTTCATTTTTCAATCCCCTCACTCTTTCCCTTATGCCTCCAAATACATTCTTCCTCCTCTCACTGCCAGAGTGATGTCAGAAGATTCTGTAGCAAGTTCTCAGAGGCCTATTGTGCAGTAATAAAGCATTCCGTCAGTGAACTGCAGGTTCTGTCCTTGCTAGCTTTCCTGAGTGGAAGGCTACCCTCATCCCTCACTAAGGGCAGAGTAGGACAAGCATTGCCCAGGCTAGCAGGCTTGCTAAGCACTAGGAACCCAAGCAAGAACTCATCATGCCAATCAAACCTATTGGGTGGATATGTGGACAGGTGTTGAAGAACTTTTCTGGAAGAAGTATACACCATCTTGTTGTAAAGGGGATATGGGTGTGGGAACATCTGGGAATAAAATCCCCTAGGATTCCCTAGCTTTCCCAGGCACCTAGGAGGTTGACCCAGTGCTTTATGTTCTTTTGAATCATTTAGGGGATGCTTTTAAAAGTTGTGATTTTTTTTTTCCCTAACCTCTTCTTTTCTTAGTCGAGGGGATCCAGAAAGTAATCATGGACCTTGTAGATGAGTTTAAAGATGAATTCCCTACCATCCTAAGATTATCGCAGTCTAATCAGGTAATGTGATTTCATAATATACAAAAAGTATATTATATTTTCAGTGCCATAATGACTATTTAATGCTTGCTTTTGAGATGAGTGCTTGAAGCTTAAGAAAAACATTAGTTTTGTCTCAGAAAAACAAATTTCAAATCTTACTCATTGGGAGGGGTCCATGGAAAGCAGAGAGATTGTGGGCCAAGAAGTGAGGTAGGTAGATGAATTAAGTTTAAAGACAATCACCGTGTGGTTAGATTGGACATCTGGCAGTCTCTCATAGCCACAATTGCAATATAAAAACCAGAAAAATACCTAGCTTTATTTTAGCTGAGCTTTAAGACAATGAAATCAGTGTAAAAACTTAACTGAGATAAATTGTAACAATGGAAAGACAACTACAGTATGAATGTGTGTTTTAAAATGGAAAGAAAATAGTAGTATCAATTTAAACAAAGTATACATGTATATTTTTTAAACTTCTGTTCCAAAATGGATTTGAAATAGATAAAATACTGGGAGTGGAGGAGGAGGGAGGTAGATACTTTTTAAGAGATATATAGTAAGGAAAAAGTAACATCTTGTTTAGGGGACACATGTAACCTAATTTACTCTAAGGTACATGTCTCTTAATGGAAAAGTGTGGTTCTGTCATTTTGACCACAATTGGAATAGAATATGCTGTGAAGTTACATGGTACAGTTAACAATCCACTTAGCCAGAAATCAGACTTTTGGCAATGTCAAACATGATGTACACAGCCAAAGCCTGAAAGTAAATAAAAAAGCACTCTGAGTAACATAGTAATCACAAAGTCTATATATTTCATTTCAACCATTCATCTAGACAACCAGCCATCAGACATTTACTAAATACCTCATCATTGCTTGGGAGAGGGAATACAGAGATTAAAAAGACATGATCTCTTCAGCCAATGATCTTAATCTAATGGAGACAGAATTGTAAACAAGTGATTGTATTAGAATATGGTAAGTGTTAGAGAGGTATATCTAATTTAGAGGAGTAATTGACTCTACCTAGTCAGGTAGGATGGTCAGGGAAAGCTTCATGGAGGAAGGATGTTTTTAAATTGGGTCCCAAAGGATGAATAGGAGTTTTCAAGGTAAAGAAAAGGGTAGGGTAAGTGGGTAGGGGTAGAGGAGAATATTCCATTGCCAGTGTGAGTTAGGCCAAAAAGTGTGAAACAGCACAGGATATTCCCAGAATGTCAAGTAAATATGAGTAAATAGCATGTAGGACAGAAGGGTTGAGGCAGGAAATAGCCGAATATTAGGAAATGTAACCAGGAGTTAGAATATGGAGGTCTTTGCATGCCATGTAAAACAGACTGGACTTTTTCTTAATTATAACACAGATATTAGTCACAGAAAGGTTTTGAGCATAGAAATGACATTCGATTTGCACTTTGAAAATACTTCTCTAGTGGTAGTCAGGTCTGAATGGAGTCAAAGCTTCTAGTAAGATTCTGTTGCAAATATCAGCTAAGAACAAGGACACTGATGTTGAGAATAGAAAGAATGAGTTGGAGACAAGAAATATTTAGCATATTTTGAAGCTGACAGTGTGGGATGAGAGAAAATATATAGGAGTTGAGGAAGACTCTGGATTTCTTGGATGGCTGGAAGAACAGTGATCCTATTAACTAGGACAGAAGACTATATGAGGAAGAGCAGCTTTGGGGATAACAATAATGAGCTTAATTGGATCACAGTTTGAGGGGTTATACCACATCTTGCCCAAGCCATGGAGCCGAGTTATAAATTGGATACATAGATTGGAAGCTCAAAAGAAGTCTGGGCTGAGGATGTATATTTAGTAGTCATCAGTATGTAGTGTATAGTTATAGTGTATATTTAAAGCAAATGTATAACAATGGTGTTCAGTTAAACCAAGATGGTAAATATCATTGCTCAAGAAGAGAGGGCAGTAATAAGAGGGCATAGGATAGAGGCCCCCCAAATACCATTGTTTAAAGGGGTCAGCAGGGAATCAAAGGTAAGAACAGAATGGTGAGAATGAAATTCTTTGAAAGAGAAGAGGAGAGAAAAAGAAGGGAGGGGTTAGCAGCCATCAGACTCCCCAGAGAAATCAGGCATGGAATACATTTTTGAAAGTTATCTTCCATGTTGTAAAAATTAAGCCAATACTTAGCAGGTAAAATTTTAGTTACCCAGAAAATTTACTTCTGTGGAATCCCTTATTTACCAGGCTTGCTGTGTACTTAAACTCTTGTTTAGCAAAAATAATTTTCTGTTCTTTGATCTGAATAGAAGGTAATTATTATACATTCAAATAACTCAAATTTTGAATGAATTGCTAAAATAAATGAATTGGTAGGCATTCTTGTTTACCATCAAATTACTTACGAGTTTTAACTGTGTGGACCTCTGAACTTTCTCACCTATAGTAGGGCTCTGGAACTTGTAAAACAGTCTTCCAGAAGATGTAACAGACTCCAGCAGTCTCTCTACTTTGACAGTCTATGACTCCTGTACAGCCACCATACAAACCGATTTCTTGTATGAGGTGAAGGGGAGCAGAGCTTACTGCAATGAATTCAGATAAGAATACTGATGTGGTCTGTAACATAAGAAAATAGCCCTGGGGGAAGTGGACACGCCTGGTACCAGTCATCGTGGGAAGAGGCAGGGCATGGTTAGGTATTGGACACCAGAACTCAGAAGGCTGGCCTTAGGCTGTCAGGAAAGCAACTGCTCTCTCCCTTTGGCTCTCCTTTCTTGGGTCTAGCCTTGGAAGAGGGGTGATACTGAAGTGTGGATGCATAGTGGTAAGATGGCATCCAGATGGTGGGCAGGACAGCTAAGTAGGACAGGGAAGGCGTAAAAGCTCCAGAGGGCAAACTAGATTTTCTAATTCCATATCTTGGACTTGGTGTCTAATTGCTTCCCCTTTTTGCCTTGGTATAAAGTCTTTTGGAACATTGGAGACTTGTCTTGGCTATGCTCTGAGTATGAAGGAAAGAGATGGGCAGGTGTCCATGCTCAGTCTAGGATGTCAAATAATTAAGGCTGGGACGGTAGTGACAAAATTATTGAAGAAACCCTAAAGGCGAACCCTAGGAAGCCAGAGACAGGCATGGAAAGCTCTGCTACCTTTTTCAAGTTGTGATTCTCTCCCCATTGCCAACATTAAAGAAACTGAGGTTTTACTTAATGAAATAAATTTCAACTTTCCACTCAACTCCCTTCACCTCCTTCTACTCTCTGCATAGCCTCATTATCACTAGAGCCATACGCATGGTTTATGGTGAAATCGTATATTCTGATCTCCAAAGAAAAAACTCTTGAGTTCCTGTTTCCAACTTATTGAAGTCATTTACTTGCAAGAACTTTACCCCACTCAGAGAGGAACATAAAGATAATTAGTTACCTTATTTCTTATTTTCAAAACACATTGTTCTTTCCCCACCATTTACTTTGAATAATGTGTTGCTGAGATTGGCAAGAAATCTGAGTAGTTAGGAGATGTTATAATGTATTTGAAGTTATTTACTCTTCAAAAATAAATTTTTTGGAAAACATTCCTAATACTCAGTTGTTTACTAGTTTGTTTCTAAAAGGTCAGATTATAAGTGCTGCAACTTTTTTTTTTTTTTAATTTCCAGGATGATCCACAATTCCCAAACATACTGGAAGGAATGGTTTTAAGAATACTTAGAGGGCTTTATTAATTGGGTTGTATTGTAAATCTCTAAATTTTGTGGTTTTTATTTAAATCTTTTTCCCCCAGGCTGTATATTTATTTAGGAAAAGGCCAATTTGCTGGTCTGGAGCAAAAAGACCTGATGGAGTGATTGTGAAATTTTTATGGAGGAATATACCCAACATATAACCAGAATAATTGCTATTAAATAGTTCTTCATGGCTAAAGATTTTGAAGAAAATTCTCTTGCTGAGGCTGGGGAAGTTAATTTTAGAATCTTGGCTTGAGATAGTGGCTTCTGAGGTCCTGTCCTCTCCACCCCTTCAGTCCCAAGCAGCCCAGACTCCAATACTCTTAGAACCTGCATCCTTAGTAAAGAGTAATTTTTAAAGGTTTACACTTGCAAATGACTTCCATGTGAGGAATTTACAGTAGTAAACCTTTAAATTTAACAAAGAAATGTGTACTAAAATTGGGGAACTAAAATTTTTTAATTCAG